ATTAGAGCCCTAGCCACAAGTCTCACTTCATGGACGTCAGTATCAGTAGAACAAGTAGTGTCTAGCTGTCAAAACACCTTCACCAGTTTTACTTGCTTGACGTGCAACCAGACGTAGGACATATATTCCCTTGGACCCTTTGTTGTAGGGGTGGGTGGGGGTGGGGGGATGGGGGGGGTGCAAGGATCCCACACCAGCACCATCAGGGGTAAGTACCCCCTTGAGTATCAACTGCTTCTAGTGACTGAAAATGACATCAGAACCGAAAGATATAGAACCAAATGTGATGTAATCACCGGAAGTGAGATCATAACCGGAAGTGACGTCAACACTGGAAATAGCAGTACAAGGCCCATCTAATCAGGAAATGATGTCTTTGGTAGAAATAGACCATAAGAGACGTCATTATCCAATAATAGCGAAGTGACGTCAGCACCGGTAATAGTGTCACAAATTCAAATTTATCAAGAAATGACGTCTTTGGGTAGAAATAGACCAGAAATGACATCGTTATTACTAACAAGATCAGCAAATATAACGGTAATTCTGGTGAAGATATCACATATTTGACTGATTATTGATACATTTCTGATTTTCAAGTCCTCAGGGGGATTTTTTAGAGGAATTTATCTCGAGTCAGGATTAGAATCCGTGAATAATGGTTTCCAGAAGAGGATTACTGTCATTACACAGGAAGTTACTGGAGGCAGATCCCACTGGTATATTCTGGCAAAGATTTAATAGAAGTAGAGGATTCGCAAGAATGATCAAACAATGGTTATCATTGTTAATAATTCTTGCGAATCCTCTACTTCTATTACATCAGGAGTACTGCCACCCACCTCCCCAATTCATCTACCTCAAGTGGTTAGATGTGGGAAAAGAAGTGAGATTCCCACCATTACGCAGGTCATAGCTTGGGTTGCTATTGTGCTATAATGGGGAACAACTAATTGTGTGATTGACAGTGAAGAGGACGTCTGTTGAAAATCTGAAAGTTGTAGTAAGTGTGACTGAAGCCAAAATACACGATTTATGGCAAAGATGTAATAGAGGTAGTATTCTTAGAATTATTAACAATGGTAACTATTGTTCGATTTCTTTTCAAAGGCATGAAAGTATGAGCTGTGAACTGTACAAATAATTAGACTCAAATATTAAAGGAATTTTCAATGAATTACCTTCATCGTGGTTAACTTTTTTGTAGAAACACAGCCAGGAGTATCACATTTTGATACACAAAATATCTACTTCATTTAATGAATGTCTAAACAAGGGCTTGGATCTTTGAATTATCATTCACTGATTGGTTGAAAGTAGGATTTCCATGATGTTATGTAAAAATCAGCAGATTTCAAAAGAAGAACTCTTCACTGTCATCTATCTGTAATCAGTTGTGCAAGTAATAATATGTTGCTGCCCAAACCTCTCTTCTGTTCCTGTGTGTGCTTGCAACAACATCTGAAATGTTTTTCTGACTTTTGTCTATCATGTTATTGGTAGTTTGTCATACTGTAGTTGCTAGTAGTGTCTGTTGTATTGCTGAATAGTTCAAGTTATCTAGATCACATAAGTAGTTAGGAGGCTGCCTTTTGTAGGACCGAGATGGTGTCTCTTTACAAATACAAGCATCCCCCGGCCAAGAGGCTATGTGGGGGACAGTTCATTTTTGGTCAAATGATATAGTCCATAGTAACAATGAAGTCTTCACCTCCAAGAGCTCCAGTCAGGCACAGCAAAGTTGTCACAATACCTATAGCCCGATCAAATCTCTGCTTGTGGCAGGCTAGTTGGCAAGTGGCTGTTTGAACTCTCTGTGCTGTAGACATTTGATCATAGGTCCCCGGGTTAGATATCCAAGTTGTTGGTCATCGAGAGTCTGCACGACTCAGGGGTAGTTGTATCCCTGAACCTCTACCTTACATCAGATCAGGACCAGAGGACCAAAGCAACTTCTAGTCCTTCTTTACGATCATAGCAAGGCCATCTCATGAACATACAAGTTAAAAATGAGCAATTGAGAGAGATATACAGTTACAGATAGAGGACTGGCATGCGCTCTGCAGGGAAGGCTTTGAAGTGTCCAGTTTTGGACACTTCACCAGCAGAGAAGGTAGTCTAACATCAGACCCTCAGCCTGCTTCAATCAATGAAGAGAGTCGCCCGGCTCTGGTTCGGTCACTGTGGCTCATGTGAGGTGGGCCATCGATATCATTCTACTCGAGTGTCTGTTTTTGCTGAAAGCTGGATTCCTTCTGATCATAGAACATCATGGGGACTACTGGGATTAAATTACCGTGTTTCTTTGAGTATAGTGCGCACCCATGTATAATGCGCACCCCCCTCTAGCGGATTCAGTATTTTGAAAAAAAAAATCGAATGTCAAGCGCAGAAAAAAAATACACCGTAGATCTACCCGTTCAACGGTGATGAAAACTTGGTCAGTACAAATTCAAAATTTGAGATAAATACTCACCAGACATGTTTATTTACCGTTTAAATTGTATTTTTTGTTCTGCTAGGCATTGTTTTATATCCAGGGATTAAGATTACCTTGAGTATTTTCTCGTAAACTAAGCCAGAAACAGCAATCAGCTGTTCACACGTTTTCTTGGAATCTACTGGTGATTCAGTCAAGACACACCCAATGATATAGCTTTACAAGATTTTAATGCAAGGATCGGCAAAAATTGTATCTGAAACTATTTTTTTTATTATCAGGAATAATATCTTGTTAATTTAGTTGCTGCTTTCACTATACATATTTTAAATAATATTACGCCTAAGAGAAGCAGCTGATCGCTATTGCCGGTTATTATTTTTCACATGCAACCAGTCACTGTCAAGGTACCCGCACATGTGATCCCGTGATCGCGAGAACTACGTGTTGACACAGAATCGTCAAACTATAACAAATATGACTTTTAACGAGTCAAAGTATTGCATGTATGATACATGTATCCATTCTCTGTCAACTAAAGTTTGTTTCAAGGCGTCAATAGCGGTAATCTGACCTTGGTTGCTGTTAATAACGGTGAGTTGTGTGATCTTCCGATCGCTTCACACACGATTTCACCGAAATTAGTTAAAACAATATTAAAAGGAATTTTGAATAAAATTAATGAAATAAGTTACAGACATAAGTCCAGATATACAAAGAACACTTTTTATAGCCAGACTGTTTAATTACACGATTAATTTGCATAATTTCAGTATGGATTTGTTGACATGGTATTTCCGGTGTTACGTACTCAAGGTAATATCTTTCCATGGGGAAAAAAACATCAAAACTCATTATTTCGTGTATAATGCGCACCCTCATCTTCTAAGCTGTGTTTTTTTTAAAACAAGTGTACACTATACTCAAGAAAATACGGTACTCAACGGGGTCTTAGTTATCATACTGGACATTGCCTGGGGTCAGGACAAAGATGTCGGGGTTTGATTCAGACCTAGGGATGAAGATTGCCGTAATTCATCGTCTTTACTAACAGCAGTTTATGTTGAATTACTAGAGGAGATTTTCCGCCTCATGCCAGACCTGAACCCTAAAGTGATTGAGGAGATTGCACCTCAAATGTCAGAGTATGCTGGATGTCATGGGCCATCTATTGGGACTTATAAACATTCCATGGCCAAGTTATGAGTCTCAACTGCTAAATCAAGCCAATGATATTCTAAAGAAGTTTATAAGTTACCTCTCCCTTAGTTGAGATGGCACATCTACCAGACATGCATTATTGTCCCTGCTGTGGCCTCCATCTATTGATAAGGATTACTTCAAGTTAGTGACGTCTCCCCACACTAGGATGTCATTGCCTATACCTAGGATCAAGGATCTTGATGTTGTCAATAGACACACCATGGATACTGGTACATATTGTGTATCAACATGTTTATTGCTGGAGTACCATCTCCTTAAGAATCTTATGTGGGCATTTCAGGTGATTTGCCTTTCACTATGCAGATGGATTAAAGTTCATGGTTTCATTTACAGTCTGTTGAACAGCATCGTTAGGATGCTAGAGATGTATTAGCTTTACGTTCTTCGTACCTGTGATAAATACACCTTCTCACACAAGTCCAGAGAGAACAATGTGGGAACAATCAAGGAAGGTTTTCCTGGTAACACTTCTTAAATGACAAGCTTCACAAGATCCTTGAAGTGTTTTTGGGAATTCCATCTGGAAAGGACTCATTCCAGGCCAACATGTGGAAGGACAGACCTGCCATCTGCCTCAGCTCTGAAGCATCGGACAACCTTTGGCAATTTTATTGGAATGATAAGCTTATCGCATACCTGCTTTAGTCCTTTCCAAGGTGATTCTGTGACCTTTTTTGACTAATTTTCGTGTATCACCACAGATTTATTAGATACCCATGATCAACTGTGAACTATTCAAAGGTTAACACATGTCAGAATCCACAAGTCCCACTGGTATATCCTGACACTAATGTAATAGAGGTTTTCCTTTTTGCAGGAATTATCAAACAGTGAGATTTTCTACCTTGTGCATGCACACATCTTATTCAGCAAGGTACTATTATTTGCACTACTGAATATGGATGGGTGACTATGAGGAGGACATCTATTGAAAATCTGAAGATTTTTATATTGTGATCACAGCCTAAACCTATTCTTCTTAGTTTCATTAACAATGACAACTATTGTTTGATTTCACAAAGTTGATATCCTGATAACAATTTCCATACATTCTGTCATAAAAGGGATTTTCTCACATTTTGACCATTTTCAAGCGAAAACCCTATTAATGTTAACTTAAGGATTCACAAATGAAAGTTAGGTTGAAACAGAAAAGCGTAGTTAATGTGTTGTGCATTTTCCAATGACGACAACATAAATGCAATGTATAATGAAATTCTGAAATGTTGAAATCTGATCTTTGCTGACAAATAGGATAAACGTCTGGTATCAAATTTTTAAGATGAATCCACATTTATGTTTTTAAATTGTCAGAATCATCATTATTTATTAACAGAAGAAAACAACAAAAACAATCCCATCAAGGGGAGGAATAGTGACTTTGGACCTTTCATTGAGTTTGATGAAGATGAAGAACAGGATGATTTTAGTTTCTCTGGGAAACTGTTGGAGAAAAGGATAGAGCTGAAGACAGAAAGTGGTGAGTGTTTTTAAAAAGATTACAGTTTATTACATGATAAAAGTTCATATATTTGCATCAAATTCGATTTGCTGTATAAATGCTTACTCTGCCACTGCTAAATCTGCCCAACTGCAGTGGGCAGTAACTCTTTCGTGAAGATGTGGGGAAACCCTGGCTCTCCCATTAGCATGATGCAGCATTAATCTTGACTCATTGCAGAACTAAATAGTTTTATATCGCTGGTGAGGTCATGATGTTGCAGTTGACAGAATGTTATGTCAAAACAACAACTCTGTTAGCAATCCTGGAATTGATGCTTTTGTACATGATTTAGCTTTATGAAGTGGTTCTTTGCAGCCATTGTAACACAGGCTGGCTTGACCTGGGTTGGTCACAATGCGTTGGTAACTAGAACAAAGTTTAGTTATAGTGCTCTGTGACAACATTGTGCTTCAGTTCGTCAAGGCATAATTTTATTTATAGGCTTATTATAGGCTTATTTGATATGAATCACATGCACATGCATCAATGCCATGGTTATGATATCACGATGTTGTCACGATTGGAGTCAAGAACCTTCTATTATTGAAGATAGTAAGCAAAATTCCTTTGAATACCCTACCTCTATTTCATCATAGCCATAAGTCCTGCAATTTGGCTAACATCACAAAAAAAAAATCCCAAACCTTTCAACAGATGTCCGCTTCACTGTCAGCCATCCCAACCAGTTGTTAGGTCCACTGTACCTCATGCAAAAGGACCCATGAAGATTCCGGGGTAGAACAGGTCTTCAGCAACCCATGCTTGCCGTAAAGGGTGACTATGCTTGTCGTAATAGGTGACTAAAGCAATCGGGTGGTCAGGCTCACTGACTTGGATGATGCATGTCATCGATCCCAATTGCGTTGATGGATGCTCATGATGTCAATCACTGGATTGTCTGGTCCAAACTCAATTATTTACAGACCGCCGCCATATAGCTGGAATATTGCTGAGTGCGGCGTTAAACAACAAACCAACCAACCAACCAACCAACCTCATGCAAAAGCTTTTGTGACTTCTTTCCTATGTGTGCAAGTTAAAACACCTGAACTTTTTCAGTCTACACATGCACCCAGTTTTCGGTTTAAATCACTTAAGGTAACTTCTAAATTTCAAAAAGACAAATCTGTACGTCAATTTTGATCTGGGCACATGGAGGTAAGATTTGGTGACATATTTTAGGAGCATGGTCTTAACCCCATTGGTAATTATCGGCTGTTTTGTGAAAACAGTGCTTCAGAACGATCAACATCCTGTCCCTTTGAACAAACCTACACATGACAGATTGAACGCCAAAAGTGTCTGTCAGGTTTCTAATGCTTAATTACTTTTGCTGAAGAATATGTTTCTTGTACAATCGCTATAAAACATGTTATCATAAAACTATATGAATGTTAAGGCTAGGCTTTACCTCCGTTTTTCTGAATTTAGCAGGTCCATCATACTAAAAAACAGCCTAACTGTCTATAATACTATATCAGACCAGTCAACCCTCCCGCATTTTGCGGGAGACTCCAGCTTTTTGATGAAATCACCCAGTCTCCCGCATGATGTACTATTTTTCCTGCAAAACAGAATTCTTCATCATTTAAAAATTCGCCTCCATTGTCCCATGAGTAAAAGCAAAGATCGGGAAGTTTACATTCCGATCACTCTGGTAGGCTCACGGATTACTTACCCTTATCACAGCCACCGGCAAGGGGACCCAGCTGGGCCTATGTCTAGTAATCAACTGGTAATTAATCCATATTTATGGTGAACGATTTAACAATGTAAACTGTAAAGAAAACTCTGATAGTCCTAACAGGTACCTGAAGAGTTGAACTATAATATGAATAATCAGCCGAGTATTCATCACTTCCTGAAATGAACTGTTGTCTTCATGTTCTTAGCATGTTTATTCCTCCATAATTTTAGAAAGTAGATACATATGGCCTGTCCAGTTATACATGACTTTATTGGCTATCAGATTTGTCAGAAACTTTGTTAAAACATCAATATACCTCAAAGTTACGTCATTTAACTCCTGGAAATGAAAACAAAATATGACCTGCAAGCGCCGTCTTCAGAAACAACACTATGCGTGCTTGGTTGATTCGGTAGTCGAAATAAGCTTCCTCATAGCTCATAGTTTCAAAGTCAAAGTTTAAAGAGAAACTTATAAATTTCCTGTTGACTGACATCGTGACTCGTGTGCACAGAAATATCAACACATAGAACTGTTTTAGATTTTGCGAGAATGTATCATGTGATTATTTTACACAATTTGATTGGCTAATAGTTTGATAGCGTCCAAGATCGGCAATCTAATTTGCATACAACAGTACTAGTCAACCAATGAGATTGATACACGTCAAGGTCAAAAACGTTATCAAAGACGAGACTCATTTCATTCATAAATTGAAGTAAAACGTTATAGTACTTCCAAATATGGCATACATTTCTTGGTACGGAATTACGAGAAAATTTCTAGGAAATTTAAGAAGCGAAGTAATGGGACTGTCAACAGACTACGACAGACCGAAAAAAAACACAACAATATATGGAGTGAAGATAACTCCTAAATTCAAAACAATAAACTATTGAAACAAGTTCATACTTTTAATACATATAGTTTACTATAATTTACTATAATGAACAATGTTTCTCCACTAATTGTGGATAAGTTCACTTTTATATGTGAACTCAGTTACTATGTTGTTTTATAACAACGTTTCTATCCTAAATTACCGTCTTGGGACTAAACTAAAACTTTTGCACAAACTCAACTCAAAACCACAGTCGCGTATCATTTTAAGTGCCTCTTGCACGTGAAACAGAACATTTTCATATGCATTGAATGTTCGTTTGGGTGCGTTTTGGCGCACTGTTTTTACTGCTGCGTTTTCGTGCACAGTCCTTCTGTCCATTTTCTCCCCGCCTTGATGGACTGTAGTCTATCAACTAAATAAATTACTATCCTCAGTTCACTATGTACATTTCTTTGCCCGGTTCTTTGCAGTTCTTTTTACAGTTCTTGATCCTTTAATGTTTTATCCTTGAAATCCGTTCTTTGCACAGTCTTGATCCTAGAATGCTTTATCCTTGAAATACGTTCTTTGCACAGTCTTGATTCTTGAATGCTTTATCCTTGAAATATGTTCTTTGCACAGTCTTGATTCTTGAATGCTTTATCCTTGAAATATGTTCTTTGCACAGTCTTGATTCTTGAATGCTTTATCCTTGAAATACTTTCTTTGCACAGTCTTGATCCTTAAATGCTTTATCCTTGAACCCCGATCTTTGGTCTTTTGAGTCTTCTGAGTCGTTCCATTCCAGTGGACTGATGTTCTTTATAGATCTGGTTAGTACAGTCTGACCAACCCTTACATCCACTACCTGAACGTGACCATCAGCTCCAGGGTAAGTCTTTATGATTGTTCCAAGCTTCCAGTGTCCTCTAGGCGTGTTTTGCGAGATCACCAGCACGACGTCTTTTTCTTGAAAATATCAAACTTGTCTGTTCCACTTTTTGCGCGTGTTGAGACTTGGCAACCATTCTCGCATCCATCTTTTCAAAAAATGGCGGACCAGTTTCTGAATCCTGCGCCAACGTCTTCTGGGGTTGAAGTCTGTTGTGTCCACACATTCAGGTGCAAATACACCTCCAGTTTGTCCATGAAGGAAGTGATTTTGTGTGAGTGGTGTGTCATCTTGACGGTGAGCTGACTGGTATGTGAGAGGCCTGGAATTTATGAGACCTTCTGCTCCTGCCATTGCTGTGATAAGATCCTCATCTGTGATGTTACCTTTGCTGAGGATGGCATAGATTGCGAGCTTTGCTGCCTTAATCATTGCTGTCTGGAGGGTTGAAAAACCATTTTACTCCTTTATTTGCAAGAGATCTCATAACAACCATCTTGATCCATTTGTTGTACGAGCTCTTTCAGTTCTTTAACTGCACCCACAAAGTTTGTACCATTATCTGATACCATGACTTCAGGAAGACCTCTTCTGCTCGCCATGCGATAGAATGCATTCAAAAACGAGTCTGTATCTAGACCATATGCAACTTCGAGATGCACAGCCCTGGTCTTGAGACACGTGAACAAACACAAATAACGCTTTTGTCTCTTCTTATTCCTTCCTTGTACAGTCAAGAACGGACCAGCAAAATCTACACCTGCATCAGTAAATGCTCGAAGTGATGGTTGTATTCTGAACTTCGGTAATGGTGCCATAACTTGGTATGCTGGCTTTGCTTTGTCTCGTCTGCACTTAGCGCACTCACGTTCCCATTGTCTGATTTCTTCTCTGCCAGATATGATCCAGAATTTGGACAATATGGCTGATAATGTCTGGTTTGTTCCCATGACATGATTTCCTGCTTCATGATAGTGCTCAACAATGAGTTTGGTTACCCAATTATATCGTGGCAGGATAATTGGGAATCTTGCTCCAAAAGAAAGACATTCAGCATGTCTTAACCGACCATTTACTCCCATGAGTCCCTGGTCATCAATTACCGGTTGAAGACTAAGAAGTTTGGAATTTGGAGACAATACTTTTTCTCCTTTTGACAATGCAGCGTACTCATCGCAGAATTCATCCTTCTGAACCTGGGTAAGTATTCTAATTTCAGCATCTTTCAGTTCACCTGTTGTTCTCACCTTCTTTTGTGATGAACAGTTGTGTAGAAATCGATAGATCCATGCATTTACTCTTGTGAGTCTTTGCCAACTTGAGTATCTAGTTGGTTCAAGTCTCGAAGACTGTTCAATGTTAACAGCGAGTAAAGCAGATATCTTTTTAACTTTTTCTTTGTCACTTTCTGTGTCATTATTGTACCATGACATTTTTTGCTCTGGCCATTCTGTTTCTTCTTTTTCTAGGAATTCAGGATCTGACCACCAGAACTTGTTGTTTGTCAGTTGTGATGCAGCTACACCTCGAAACAACATGTCAGCTTGGTTCATTTCAGATGGAACATGGTTCCA